GGGTCTGCAGCATGTGATGAGGTATCCAACAAGAGGGAAATCCCTATTTGAATTCGCCCTGTCCAATCCACTTACTACAGATGCATCAACACAAGACAGTTTTATTAGGATTGACCTTTGCATAATCTCTGGTGGAGTTGACTTCCAGAATTGACATTGAGGATTCTCTATATCATGAAAAGTGGGGGATATTTCAATCATGTCCAGCAAATAAAATTAGAAGATCCAAGATGCTCTATTGGCCATCTGCAGAATTAGAATTAAATTCGCCTCCAGTGTGTCGCCACATGTTGGATTATTTCATTCCGTCATTACCATCAAACTTGGAAATCAAACCTGATTCAAAAGTACCGGAGCCATGATGTCGAGGTGCCGGTGTTGGACTGGGGTGGACAAAGTCAAAAGTCACACGACAGCAGGTTATAGTGTAACTGGTTTATTTGAAATCACAGGCTTTCTAGGCGCTGCTCCTTCATCAGGTGAAGTATGAGAGGGCGTGCCTGTAGCAGTATCAGACATGCCTTAAAACTACGAAGTTGTTACATAGCACAATTTAAGTGGCAAGCAGTAGAAACAAATTTTAACAGACAGAGCTAATAAATCCCCCAATAAATTCATAAGATCTAAATTAAGCAGTTCTGCCACACCCAGTCGGGAATTGTGTGGACAGTTAAACTGTTAACCATTCAATGCAAAGATATTGCTGAAGTATTTACATCAACCTACAACAAGAAGTACAGAGCATCTTTGCCTCGTCTTGAGGCCCTCATCATCACTGATGCCTATCTTCAGCCTGTTCCATTCAGCCGACATGATGTCAAGTATCGAATAAATATACTGAATACTGAAAAGAGCATGTGCTCTGATAAAATTCCGGCGAATAAAACTGACGACATGTGTTGCAGAACTAGTCAGGTTGTTCCAAGGAAGTTACAACACTAGTATCCATCTGTTAATGTGAAATATTCTGCAGGAGTGTCTGGTTTTGTGATGCAACTGATGGCACTACCGGACAAATGAGATTCCAGAATGAAATCTAGCCTGCTAGATTTTTTTTTGCTGTTAATTTTGCGGTCAGTCATCAAAACAGCCAAAGTGTCTTTTCTCCTTATCTTAAGCTCCAGGACATCTCTGCAGGAGTTCCTCGGGGTAGTGTCCCAGGCCAAACCATCTCCAGTTGCTTCATCAATGACCTTCCTTCCATCATAAGGTCAGAGGTGGGGATGTTCGCCGATGATTTCACAATGTTCAGCACCATTCGTGACTCCTCAGATACTGAAGCAGTTCATGTTCACATGCAACAAGATCTGGGCAATATCCAGGCTTGGGCTGACAAGTGGCAAGTGGCATTCGCACCACTCAAATGCCAGGCTCTGACCATCGCCAATTAGAGACAATCTAACCACCGCCCCTTGACATTCAATGGTGTTAACATCACTGAATCTCCCATTGTCAACATCCTGGGGGTTACCATTGACCAGAAACTCAACTGGACTCACCACATTAACAGAGTGGCTACAAGAGCAGGCCAGAAGCTTGGAATTCTGTGGCGAGTAACTCTTCTCCTGACTCTTCAAAGGCTACAAGGCACAAGTCAGGAGTGTGATGGAATACTCCCGACTTGCCTGGATGAGTGCAACCCCAACAACACTCAAGAAGCTTGACACCATCGAGGACAAAGCAGCCTGCTTGATTGGCACTACATCTGCAAGCATTCACTCCCTCCACCACTGATGCTCAGTAGCAGCAGTGTGTACTATCTACAAGATGCACTGCAGAAACTCACCAAAGATTCTCAGACTGCACCTACCAAACCCACGACCACTTCCATCTAGAAGAGCAGCAGATATATGGGAACACCACCACCTCCAAGTTCCCTTCCGAGTCACTCACCATCCTGACTTGGAAATGCATCGCCATTCCTTCACTGTCGCTAGGTCAAAATTCTGGAATTCCCTCCCTCATAGTATTGTGGGTCAACCCACAGCAGGAGGAATGCAGCGGTTCAAGAAGGCAGCTCACCACCACCTTTTCAAGGGCAACTAGGGACGGGCAAGAAATGCTGGCCAGCCAGCAACGCCAACATCCCACGAAATGAATAAAAAATTAAAAAAAAATAAAGTTGGCTGAACTGCTGGTTTGTGATGCAGTTTGACGATAACAGTGCACTTTCGATTTCCACACCAGCTAAGGTCACTATGAAAGTTCCACCTTCTCAACCTCCCATCTCACTTGAGCGACTGGGTGACTCTCAGCTGAAACCCACTCTCTCCACCATTTCTCTCTCTCTAATGACAGCGCAGCCATATGCTCCTTTGGGATTATGGCAACAACTAAAGTTGTAAAACAAATAAAAGGTTAAAGTAAACTTCCAAGCTAATGGATATGTCTAAGAAGGAAGAAGAAAGTGGCAACGTCTGTATATGAATGGAGCTAATATGTGTAACTGCTTGCCTGAGTTGCATAACATTTTTAAGAAGCATACATCAACAATCCAAATCTTATGTAAGTAACTGGTCAATATCCCAATGGGAAAAGAAAAGATTTTACAAGAATTCAAGATATATGAATAGATTTCGGCAATACAGCCCGTTAAACCTGCTGTACAATTCAGTACTATCATGGTTGATCTTGGGATTTGAGTTGACATTTTGCTCACTCCCCCTTGATTTCCTGACAATCCAAAAATGTGCTTGACCACAAATTTCAAACTATATGTGTTAGTTTATTTTCCATGAAAATGCAAAAGCATCTCGAGCTATTTGTTCCTCCTATGAATAAGCATAAGGTACTGTACCTAATCGAAAACGAGTAGGACATTCACAGCTGCGCTAACGTGCAACACGATATGCTACGTAACATTGCAGCTACTTAACATTTGCCACTTCAATGCACCACCTTGCTCCCTGTCTCCGGCTTGCTACAGTGTTCCAATGAAGCCCAGCGCAAGCTAGAGGAAAAACACCTCATTTTCCACTTGGGGAACCTACAGCCCTCCGGACTCAATATCGAGTTCAATAATTTTAGGGCCTAAACTCTCCCATGTCCCAGCCCCCCACCCCACACGCCAGGCCTTGTTACCACATAGCCTGCCACTACACACCCCCTGCTGTTAGTCACTAACAGTCCCCATTAACAACTATTCACGCTCCCAGTCTGATCATTTGCAAATCCTTTGTCTGTCCCACTGTCTTTCTCTCTCTTTGGTCTCTATCCTATCATTTACTCCCTACCCCACCCACCTCCCTATTTTCTGCATATAAACTGGCGTTTTCCTAGCCACCATCAGTTCTGAGGAAGGGTCACCGGACCCGAAATGTTAACTGTGTTTTCTCCTCCACAGATGCTTGCAGACCTGCTGAGCTTTTCCAGCAACTTTGTTTTTGTTCCTGATTTACTGCATCCGCAGTTCTTTTGGCTTTTATTTAACATTGCAGTAAACTTGCCGTAGCACTCCAGTGTTGATGTTTTGATTTATCACAGTAACTGTACATTTACTTGTCCTGTGAAAATTCCAAATACAGTTACTATTTAATGACAGCTATGAATTTTTGAGTACATGTTCAACATATACATTCCGCTCAAGTGTCCATTTCCTGAATGAAAGATTCTTGTTAAAAAATGTTCAGAAATCAGCAATTCTACTTTCTGAATTATTTTATTATGAATTAAGCGATTCAGTAGGATGATTAACAAACAAAATTATTCTATCACAGAAGTGAGCAATGGTATCAAGGCAGCAATTTAATGCAGATCAGTAATTTCATTTGAATTTAATGGGGTCCACATAGCTGTGGACCAGAGGCAGATGAGGAAAGAGTGGCAGACATCATGCTCTAATGGCATTCTTAAATCAGATAGATTTTTTAGCCGACCGTCAATAGTCACATTGGTCACAATCATGAAAACCATCATAATTCTCCAGAAGTATAAATTGAATTTAAATTCCGCCAGTATTTATGGTGAGAATTGAAATTATCTTCAAAGAGCAGCAATCTAAGTTTCTGGATTACTGGTTTTGTTTCATTGCCGTTACACTACCACTTCGTCCGTTCGAATTCTGCATGTGGAATATTCAGCTACAATTAAATTATTCCACAGTATTTCACAATTCAGACACCAATAATCATGCACCGCATGACTAGGCAATGTTGCTCCAAAGTCTGTAAAATTATTCGTGCATCTTTTTTTAAACTTAAGTCTGAAGGAGCAGTCACTGTAAGTGTGAACGCATTTTTTCACTGATGATATTGATGATGGAGTGGAAAGACTTCATTTAAATTTGACAAAGTAACAGGATTCCAAGGGCTGAGACACAAATTGCATTAATAAGATTACAATTGTGGATAGACCTTTAGTAGGGGACAACTAGATAATTTTTAAAAAAATACTCAGGCGTACAATCCGACAGAGCAATGTGAGGATTTTTTTTTTTGACCAACCCAAATAATTATCAATTGTATTGATCAATTCAATGGTGTTCAGACATGGGAAGAATTGAGCCAATTAAAGTAAACGTCAACGAGGTCATAACTTGAAGAAAAAAAAGAAATTGTAGAAATGCCAATTAAAGTTGCACAGTAATAAATGCACAAAACGTTCTCATTGTTCTCTGTGGAGGCACTATTGCTTTAAGAGTACGAGCTGTTAATATTGACGGAGTCTTTTTATGTCGCTGTCAACCAATGAGGTGAGTAAATGTGGCTGAGGATCCAGCAGCACTTCCCCTACATCAAACACTGTGCAGTATCGAAGAAACGAGGAGCATTCTTCACTCCACGCGCTCGATTCATGTCGGAGAATACATCGTAGGAAATCTGCGGGATTTGTCTAAACGGGCCGAAACATTTTGAAAAAAAACTGCCGACATTTGAAGAAAAACACAGCTTTTTCTGAAATTCGCAAACCCAAGGTAACCAGCAGTTATATTCTCCTCTTCAAAATAAGAAGCTTGAAATTAATCTGAGAATCATTCAATTATTGACAGTTGTTTGAACCAGAATGGTATTTTTGCTAAATTACCGCGAATCGCAATGTCTGGTGCATTACTTGATTCTTATATACCTCTCCGAGTCTGGACATGGAAACATTCGCTACTCAATTCCTGAAGAGTTAGAGGTTGGTGCCTTTGTTGGGGATATTGCTGAAGACCTCGGCTTGGATGTTAAACAATTGTCCGAGCGCATGTTTCGGGTTGCATCTGAAAATAAAAGACAATATTTAACAGTGAATTTAAAAACTGGAGCTTTGCTTATAAAGGAAAAAATAGACAGAGAGCAGCTTTGTGAACAAGGCCTCAGTTGCGTTTTAATGTTGGAGGCGGTGATCGAGAATCCACTTAAAATTTATCGCATTGAAGTAGACATTCTCGACATAAACGATAACGCCCCAATTTTCCAGAGAAAGGAAGTTAACCTGGAAATATCTGAATTGACGCCGCTTGGAATGATCCTTCCACTTCAGAGTGCTGTTGATCCGGACACAGGAACCAACAGTGTTCGCTTCTATCAACTGAGCCCAAACCAGCATTTCACATTGAAATCACAATCAGACGGCGGGCAAGCTGGCATCCCAGAACTGGAACTGCAGCGAAATTTAGACCGAGAGCAAGAACCGAATCTTGAACTAACGTTAACGGCGTTTGATGGAGGGAATCCGAAGAAATTCGGAACCGCACAAATTAAAATTACTGTAATTGATGTAAATGACAACGCTCCCGTTTGTGAACAAAGTATCTATCACATTACGATTGCAGAAAATACACCCAAAGGTACTTTGATTGTGAAAGTAACTGCCGTTGATAGAGACGAAGGCCTTAACGGCGACGTAATCTATTCTTTCAGTGATCACACTCCTGATAACATCCGTGAGGCCTTTACCTTAGATAAGGCCACCGGCGAAATTAGGCTTACTGGAATCGTGGACTTTGAAGAATCAGATCGTTACCATATTTCAGTACAAGCTAAAGACAGGGGCCCACATTCAGTCGCAGTATACTGCAACGTTTTGGTAACGGTTACTGATATCAACGATAATTCTCCTGAGATAATCATGACAACCACATCGAGCACGATTCCAGAAAATGCTTCACCGGACACTGCCGTAGCTGTTCTTAGAATTACAGACCGAGATTCTCAAAATACAGCAGAGGTTTCCTGCGTAATTCGCAGAGATATCCCGTTTAAGCTCACAAATTCTGTAAATAATTACTATACGTTAGTCACACAGGGACTAATAGATCGTGAAATGGTATCAGAGTACAATATTATAATTATATGTAAGGATGCTGGATCCCCTCCACTGTCGACGAGCAAAGCAATAAAAGTTCAAGTTTCGGATATAAATGACAATGCGCCACGGTTTACGCAGCCTTCCTTCACCATGCATATAACAGAAAACAATGTCATTGGTGCTTCAATTGGTTCTGTATCAGCCATTGATCCAGATTCCAATCAAAATGCCGAACTTTCATATTCTATTTTGGAGAGCCTAATGGACAATGTGCCTGTATCCACATTCATCTCCATAAACGCTGTCAACGGTGTGATCTTCGCTCGCCAATCTTTTGATTTTGAACAAATAACAAGTTTTGAAGTTCACGTGAAAGTGACGGATGCTGGATCTCCTCCACTCAGCAGTAATGTTACTGTCAATGTGATCGTCGTGGACCAGAATGACAATGCCCCTGTGATTGTGTCGCCTTTGCCAGTGGAAGGAACCGCAGTAGAGGAAACAATACCGAGATCCGCTGACCCGGGTTACTTAGTGACAAAGGTTACAGCTACGGATGCCGATTCTGGTACGAACGCCAAACTTTCTTACCAACTTCATCTCTCCAGTGACGAAAGTCTATTCACAGTGGCTCAGGAAACAGGAGAAATATGGACCATTCGCCACTTTACACGCAAAGATTCACACCGGACAAAAATCGTAATTTTGGTGAGGGACAATGGAAAGCCATCCCTTTCATCGACACTAACTATCAATGTATCTCTACAGGACGATACAACAGAAATTGTATCAAACACTGGAAGTTTGGGGACCACTGGAGCATGGAAATCCGATTTGAAATTTTACCTGATGATTTTATTTGGTACAACCTCATTTATTTTACTCTTGGCTATTGTTTTTCTCGGCATTAAGGTGTGCAGAGGCAGAAATGAGGTCATCAAAGATTTTTGCTGCTTCTCACGGAGAAACTCTCTCCATGGAATTCAAAGGGCAAGCGTAAACCTGCAGATACCACCTAAGTATACCCAGTCTTATGACAACGCGAATCTTCCACAGCAATTTCGCTATGATCCCGTCATGAATGATTTACTGTTCCTAAAGTTACATGATTCGGCTGCATCAATGATTGATGTGAAGACTGGGACTTGTGTTGCTGCAGAACATAAAAAGGCATTAATTTCTAGAAGCAAGGACACGGATTGCAAGGTGAGAGTTGTTTTCCTAAATATATCTTGGGCATTTAAGAAAGAAAAGAATAGATGTTAGAATATACAAGTGGCAAAATGTAAATAAAACAGCTCTAACTACATCAAGTATAATTTCAAGCAACTCCTTAAATGTGATGATAAGCATTGGAGTGATTCTCTATTAAACTTAGAAAATGTTATTAAATGAAATTATTTTAATACATACATAGTAATAGCAACATCTAAAAACACAGTCATTGACAAGGGAGTAACGTGAAGAATTGGTGGTTTTGAATCTTTAGCAATAACCTGTATAATTCCCATACTGGTCAGTTTCATTGAGCAAATAACCTTCCCTGACCTTAAGCTGTTAACGATTATTTGGTGATATAGGTAATCAGGGAAGGCTGAATGGGAAGTGAAAATAAGACCAAACATGTCAATTAATTAATTGAAATTCTAACAAATCCATTTTCAACATGTTCTAGTGGCTTATATGTTAATTGGACAAGCTAGTCGTACTAACATTGCATTAAAAGCACAGAAAGGAATCAATAATTGTACAAGATAAGGAACAAAGGTGAGTCAAACAAGAACTACGGCTTCAGAAGTAGAATCGTGAAATTGGAACATTTAAGTTCGAAGAGATGGTAGCAGCGAAAACTGTTTCTGTCAGGCAGGGGCAGTGCATATTTATGAGAATAACAGATCAAGAGTAGGCTATCCAGGGCCTCAAGACTGTTCCAGAATTTTATGCCATGATCATTGACCACAGCAGCAAATTACTATGCTATATCTTGCTCCCTTGGTGTTAGTAACTAAAACGCAATCAATCTGTCTTTAACTTACGTATTGACTCAAAATGTTCAACATTCCAGTTTAAATAACCGTCAGATTGAAGCAATTCCTCTCCATCTAGTTCTAAATAGCTCAACTTTTATTCTGAAACAGGGGTACTTGGTACGACATTTCACAACCTGTGGAAGCAACTTTTCTGTATTTACTCCGTCTACCACTTTAAGAACTTTGTAAGTTTATTTGAGACTGCCTGTCATTCTTCTAAACTTCAGACATTACACGGCCATTCTCCTCAATCTCTACTTATAAGATTGTCTCACAATTCCAGGTATCAATTTGTTGAGCCTCTGCTGCACTTGATAAATGGCAAGTCTGTCATTCCTTTGGCAAGGTAGCAAGAACTGCGCACAGTACTCCAGATACGGCTACACTAATGTCTTGTACAACTGAAACAAGTCTTTGCAGCTGTTGTCAAATCTTCTCTAATGAAAAATATTTGAATTCTGAATTGCTTGCTGCATCTACATGCCAGTTTGTAGTGACTGATGAATAGAACCACCTTGGTGCCTTTGGACGTCAATACTTTCTAATAGTTCACAGTTAAAAATACACCACTCCTTGATTCCTCGTTGCAAAGAAGATAGGTTTGTGCTTCTTGATATTCAATTTGCAGTGATTTTGCCAGCTCATTCGGCCTATCAAAATCCAATTTAAGCCTTTTAAAAATCATTAACAAATTTCATTTTGGTACTTCGTATCTCATATTTTCATCATGTTTTGTAACATTTGCATAACCTGTATGTGGAATATGTCCTCAACATTGAGATGGATTTTGGACACTGGGGCCCAAGTATTGACCCTTGTGGTAACCATTGATTATAGCCTTTTAAGTCTGAGGATGATCAAATTATTCTTGCTCCGTACTTTTGCCTGTTAAACTCAGTCCATGTTATCAAATTAATCCGAGCCCAACGTGTTTTAACTTTGTTGCCTAATCTCCTTTATCTCAAAGCTTTTGAAAATGCAATTCTAAACATTTGCTCCATTATGAGCGCTACAGTAACGTTTTGATTTAAAAAAAAACTTTCAAGTTCGTAAAAAAAAATTTCACCCTGATAAATTCATTTTGACCGCTGTGGAATTAATATAATTTTGAAAGATGAAAAGCAATATATCCATTAACTCTACACTCATCGCTTTCAATGCAAGACAAGGGTCTTCAGGCTCCGGGGGCTTTGGCAACTTTTAATCCCGTTAATATATTCTATATTACCTTTTAATGCTCTGTGACCGACAGACCCTCCTTGGGCTTGATTGTGCAGCTGCTAATCCAGAGGGACATTTTTATCACTGAACCACGAGAACTTCTAGGTGCCACTTAATTAATTTAAATTGCATACTTGCGATACTTCAGGATGAAGAAAACATTATATTACCACTGAGGAAGAATAAGTGGCTTACCGAACGAGTAATTCTGTTCTAGTTTTAAAAAAGTCAAATCTTTGTGCCCATGAAAAATGGGATAAGAATGAATGAAGAAAAGGGGTACAAGCATAACAGAGCCTGACAAGCATGTGAATTCGGCGAGAGTGTACCTGAAAAGGCTGGAAGCTTGATGGGCAAGAAATGTTGAATAAAATATCATGTAAACTGGAATGAAATATTACGTTCAAGATAAATATATTAATATTGAAATACTTACATTGATATTTAAACGCATCATAATGGAAGAAAATTAATTCGTGTAAAAGGACATATTTGACGGCTTGAAAGAATCATGGCATTATTGGGAGAAAGCAGGGAACAAAACAGTCAAAGTTTTGAAGTTTGGATGCTACTGTACTTTTTCCTCCTGTTATCAGAAAATGCGAGACAAATTACTATCACATGATTTCTTCTGAAGTAGTGCAGAACTGCTTCTTGTTCATGTTCAAGAACAGATCAACAATATTGGAAGGCAATAATCGAGCCATGCAACATAAATCAGAGGATACTCTATTTTCAAAGGCGACTGTTGTTCATGGATCTGAGATATTTATGTCTTAACAGCCATCAACAGAAATTACCTTTGTCCCCCTCCACCCACACATCAACGAATACCGGTCACGTTTGGACACAGAGCAGTTTTTCCGCCGCCTCCGCCTCCACGCTTACTTCTTTAACCATGAGCCTAACCCTCCCTCTACTGACCCCTTCTCCCACCTCCAACACACCCCCTCCGCCTGGACACCACCCCAAGGCCTCCTACCCTCCCTCGACCTCTTCATCTCCAACTGCCGTCGAGACATCAATCGCCTCAACCTATCCATCCCCTCACCCACTCCAACCTCTCCCCCGCAGAACGTGCAGCCCTCCGCTCCCTCCGCTCCAATCCCAACCTCACCATAAAACCTGTGACAAGGGAGGCACAGTTGTAGTATGGCGCACTGACCTCTACATCGCCGAGGCCAGACGCCAACTCTCCGAAACCTCCTCCTACCGCACCCTTGATCATGACCCCATCCCAGAGCACCAAACCATCATCTCCCTAACCATCCACAACCTCATCACCTCAGGTGACCTCCCACCCACGGCCTCCAACCTCATCGTTCCCAAACCCCGCACCACCCGCTTCTATCTCCTTCCCAAAATCCACACACCTGAATGCCCTGGTCGACCCAATGTCTCCGCCTGCTCCTGCTCCACTGAACTTATCTCCAACTATCTGGACTCCATTTTCTCCCCCTTGGTCCAGGAACTCCCTACCTACATATGTGACACCACCCACGCCCTCCACTTCCTCCAGAAGTTCCAATTCCCCGGTCCCCTACACCTCATTTTTACTATGGACGTCCAGTCCCTATACACCTGCATTCCCCATACAGATGGCCTGAAGGCCCTCCGCTTCTTCCTGTCCCGCAGGCCTGACCAGTCCCCCTCCACTGACATCCTCATCCGCTGAGCCGAACTCGTCCTTACCCTCAACATCTTCTCTTTCAATTCCTCCCACTTCCGACAGACAAAGGGGGTCGCCATGAGTACCCGCATGGGCCCAAGTTATGCCTGCCTCTTTGTAGGTTACGTGGAACAATTCCTCTTCCGTACCTACACTGGCCCTAAACCCCACATCTTCCTCCGTTACATTGATGACTGTATCAGCGCCGCCTCGTGCTCCCATGAGGAGCTCGAACAGTTCATCCACTTCACCAACAACTTCCACCCCAAACTTAAGTTCACCTGGACCATTTCTAATACCTCTCTCACCTTCCTGGACCTCTCTGTCTCCATCTCGGGCAACCACCAAGAAGCCGATATCCATTTCAAGCCCAGCGACTCCCACAGCTACCTAGAATACACCTCCTCCCACCCACCTTCCTGCAAAAATGCCATCCCCTATTCCCAATTCCTTCGCCTCTGCCGAATTTGCTCCCAGGATGAGGCTTTCCACTCCCGTACATCTCAGATGTCCTCGTTTTACAAGGATCAGTGGTCGACAACGCCCTCCACCGTGTCTCCCGCATTTCCCGCAACTCATCCCTCACACGCCGTTTACGCAATAGCAACCAAAACAAAATCCCCCTCGTCCTCACGTACCACACCACCAACCTCCAGATCCAACGCATCATCCTCCGACACTTCCGCCATCTGCAATCCGACCCCACCACCAAAGACATCTTTCCCTCCCCACCCTTATCTGCTTTCCGGAGGGACCACTCTCTCCGTGACTCCCTTGTCCGCTCCACACTCCCCTCCAGCCCCACCACACCCGGCACTTTTCTCTGCAACCGCAGGAAGTGCTACACCTGACCCACACCTCCTCCCTCACCCCCATCCCAGGCCCCAAGAAGACTTTCCACATCAAGCAGATGTTCACCTGCACGTCCGCTAATGTGGTATACTGCATCCGCTGTACCCGTTGTGGCCTCCTCTACAACGGGGAAACCAAGCGGAGACTCGGGGGACCGCTTTGCAGAACACCTACGCTCGGTTCGCAATAAACAACTGCACCTCCCAGTCGCGAACCATTTCAACTCTCCCTCCAACTCCTCAGACGACATGTTCATCCTGGGCCTCCTGCAGTGCCACAAAGATGCCACCCGAAGGTTGCAGGAACAGCAACTCATATTCTGCTTGGGAACCCTGGAGCCCAATGGTATCAATGTGGATTTCACAAGCTTCACAATCTCCCCTCCTCCTTCCGCATCCCAAAACCAGCCCAGCTCGTCCCCGCCTCTCTAACCT